AGAGAGTTATCACTCAACAGCTATCTTCAGCTCGTATATCGTCTCTCCAGCCGTATCTCTCTCACCCCGAGTCGATTCTGTTCAACGCCGCTTCACGAGGTCACACGTAGAACGTTGTAGTTGACGGCATAAACGGAGATCTTGACAGGGTCGTCGCTGTCGAGGCCGAGGTTGAGCGCCGCATTATCGATTCTGCTAAAGTTGCAAGTTCCCGATGGTTGATGCTCTTCCGGTTTCAAGGCGAAGCTGTAGACGTAGATGAAGCGGTCAACTGGGGATCCTGGTGTGATGCTGGTACGGTTGCACCAGGCGGAAGTAGGGGGCGGCCCGCTCCTGGAAGCGGTCGTGGCCGTTGAGCAGGATCTTTCCGGTCGTCATCAGGTCGGTTCCCGAATTCTGCTCTCCGCCGTCGAACCACATGTTGCCGGCAACGGGGTCGGCAGATGCGCTGGCGCTTGGTGTGCATGTCCAGATCAGCTCCTTGACGGGGTGATTGAAGGACATTCGGATCTTGCTGGTGCCCGTTCCGCCGCTCCAAGTGTCTGAACCCGTAAATTGGAGCTGCTCTATTAGAAATTCGTGCGAAGAAGATGCGTATTTTCTCCTTTCGTCCGTATTTAAATAAACATAATCGACGTACAACGAGGCACTCACGATTGACGGGACCGGGTTGAAAGAAACAGCCACATTGGACCTGTAGAGCTCATTAAGGGAACGGAATTCAATATTGACCTTGATTTCGTGATATTGAAGGGCGATGAGCGGCAGAGCGTTCCCTAGCACTCGGTTGAACCAGAAGAAGAGCGGGATGTAAAGCGTGGTGGAGTGATTGAGGTTCAAGAGGGCCGTGTCAGCGGTGGTCCTGTTGGAAGACGGGACCGTGTCGCTGTTGCTCGGCTGGCCGACCATCTCCTCGTAACCCTTCCTCTTCTCCTCGGGCATCGACAGCTGGTGGAAGATCTCCATGTACTCGGATGGGATCTTGTCGATCTTCTGACCTCCAATCTCCACCTCTACGTTTCGCATGAGGGCGTGGCCCACCGAGTTGATGTAACGCAGCTCCGTATGCGTCGTGGTCGAAGTCAGCGCCGGCAGGGTGACCTGCAGATACATCGTGGTCACCAGGTCCCCGTTCCTAGAAATCGTGGCCGTGACGCGGCGGCCGAAATCAGCCGCGCCATTGAATGTCTGCTCGATGGCTTCCAAAGCAAAGTTGGTGTACCTGCAATAGACGATCCTGAAGAACGTGATTTGAGGGCTTCCCGTGAGGTAAGCATCCTGGGCGCCCTGAGCCACCAAAGACAGAAGACCTCCTGACATACTCACCAATACACTAAGGTGAAAAAAAAAAACGAAAGTGACTGGCACGAACGTGGATCATTATCTCTGCTATAACCAATGGATCTGAGCCCACCTGCAGACGGAGGCCCCTACAGCCACTGGGTGAAGGGCAGACGCCAGCGCAACAGGGTCACTCTTCCCTTTCTGAACGCCACGATTCCTTCCAAAGGCCACCTTGCTCCCTCCGACTTCCGGCCGACAGAGGGTGGAGGCAAGAGGTTCCTGGAGGAGCTGAAGCTCGGGGGCAAGCTTGGATTCCTCTCGGCCGGAAGCCACGGCCGTGCCTACCGGGCCAAGCAGGCGCCCGCAGCCTTCCACAATCAGCTGTTTCGGTGCCTCAGCGCCTACGTGATTGGGAACCCTAAAATGGCGCCCTCCTCCGTGGTCATCAAGGTCCATCTGCTAGATGACTATGACGACATTGATGAATGCCAGAGGGAGTGCAAGTTGCAATCATGGTTGCATAACCAGGAAACGACGTTCCGAGGCTCCAAGGTTTGTGGCAGTGACGTGGTGCCGCCCATCTTCTACGCAGGCCTTCTGGAGGGCCATGACAGGATGGGGATGGCATTCATTACGGTGATGGGAGAGGCTCCAGGGCAGCCAATCGACAAGTTCGTGAGCCACGAAAAACACCTGACCAGCGTGCAGTTTACCGTCATTGAACGAGCAATCCTCACGCTCTGGCTGCTGGGAGCTATTCATGCGGATATGCACGCTGGAAACATGTTTTTAACGAGAAGACCGGAAAGGTAACAATCATCGACTTTGGTTACGCTCTGATCCTGCCTAAAACGAAGGCCAAACAGGTTAAGTCCGCCCTCAACAAGGGTGCAGGCTTGAAAACCGTTTGGAAGAGCGACAAAATCGGGCTACGACGCTATGTAAATGCTGTCCAGGGCGGTCGGGGGTTTGCGTGGTACAACCCAGACGCCAAGGCGGCCCACTTCTTCCATTCACTCGTCCTGAATAAGTCACCACGCTCAATCTCGGCTTACCACTCGGCTGAAACAAATTTCAGATAAAGCAGAGTATCAATTCTGGTTGGCATGCATTCCGTGCAGACAGCTTTTGGGATCAACGATGTGACATTCCGACAGAGCGCGGGCTGGTGAAGGACCTAAGGAAGGTCTGGTCTGACAGACCTAGGAACGTGGGTTCCTTGTGGATGGGACAGGGATGAGCGCCACGCTTTCAAGCTTAAGGACTTGAATTGTGCAATGAGGACGAGACCCAGGGATGAGCGCCACGCCCTCAAGCTTAGGAACTCGAGTATCATAGAAAGAACCATCCACAGCGCGAGGCAACCATGGGCCACGAGTTGGACATCCTCAAGGCCTTCGTCGTGAACGGAGAGAGCTACGAAGTGGATATCATTTGGGAGGGCACAAGACCCCTGTTCAAGGCCAATGACATCGGAGTTATCCTGAGAGGTCCGCACTTCGTAGGTGGCACGGTTTCCTTTTTCTGACCGCTCGAGTCAAAGCGCCACATGAGACCGGGTCTACTAGATCGATCAGTCATGTGTCGTTCTTTCTGGTCATGAAAGTCTCGCACTGGTTGAACCTATCAGAAGCTCGTCGAGTGACCGACCGTAGTTGATCTGCCTTTTGAGCCCTGCGTGCTGCACCTACTATCATCGCCGAGGGTCGGCCGGCGCGCGCTCCGCAATACTATCTGGCCGTGGCCCTCAACATTTGGTCTTTGCAGCATCGATCATGGGCCCGTTTTCAAGCGTTGACTGTGCGGTTTCTATTGACCCCTAAGTGATGCGCCATAAGCGCAACAAAGCTTCTATATAAACTTCTATAAAGCTAGTCAGCTAGCTAGGAACTTTTGCTATTAGTTGCGTGGAGACAAGGTAACATGATTGATGTTGTGTGCTGATGGGAGCAATGACTGGAAGTCAGAAACTGGCGGTCATGACGGTCGGCGAGCCATCTCTGCCACTGCTTGCGCGCGCAATTGGGACGCCATCGTTTGCGTAAATAGCATGCGGCAGCAACTCGATCAGCTCATGTGGTGAATAACGACAGTGCACGTCCGGGGCCACATCAATACGTCTAGTCGCATCGAAACACATACCTCAATTGCTACTCTACGAACCACTGAGAGTGACCGAATTCCTCTTGCAAAAATGGCCCGGCCCGGCCCGCAATTAATGATCATTTCTGCTATAATTGCTAAGAGCCGGGCGCGACGCGGCCGCGATAATGCAACGAGCAACACAGCCTGCAGGGTTTGGGTGGGGTTCGAGTCCTGTGTTCGTAATATCGTAAGGTTTAGGGTTGGCGCTGGTGAGCTCAGCTGGCTAGGTACTTGCATAGCACCACTCCTGAGAAGTCCAGGAAGCTTCTGATTCTGCAATTCTTTACAAAAACTGGGAACTGCTTACTGCATTGCATGGCGAGGCGGCCAACAATGTGATCAAAGCGAGGTCCAATAGCTGGGAAATCCTGCAGGGCCCTCTCTTCAAGGGCGCTGCGAGGTTCCCGGCAGCTTTGACAGGTCGTCTGTTGGCAGCATGCTTAGATAAGCACAACATATGCCGCTGCGTTGAGCTCCTTTAGCGGGGATTGTCAAACTTTCCCAGCCTTTAAAATATGGCGAGTCCGATGGCGGGATCTATTGGAATTGCTCTTTTGTCCGTTTTTCTGAATCAGGCCCGGTGCGCTGCGAGCAGCCAGGTAAGTGGGCTGCAATTTGAATTTGTCCCAGATTCCAGCTGGCAGCATGCGCAGACCATTCGGTCTTTCGCAGAGGCAGTTAGCAACTACGGGCAATGTGGGTTCAGTTCCAGAGTACAGCACTGTGAGGATAAGATCTGAATCTGTTAAAAGTTGCGGGTGTATTTGAGAATAATGCACTTGCAGTTGTAAATAATAGACCATGTTAGATGTGCTAAAAACTTTCTCTGCTCTTGCAGACGGTGCGTCTTTTTGGTAGCACTACCACTATCTGTACAGGTGAGATTAAATGCTTTGCTTCCGGCGGTGTCACCGAGGGGTTTGGGATTGGGGCTCCTCTATTGATAGGCAATGTGCATCATGGACGCCATTAGATTGGTCTGCCTGCGCTAGGGACTCTCCACCATTTGGGAAAGTGGTTCAAGACACTTGGCAAGTGTTCTCAGTACCAAGTATGTTTCTGCAGCTTTCATTCCTGTCTATGAGCGCTGGTTGTCTCAAGCTCAGTTTGTGCCAAATCTTGTGCTGGCATGAGAGGACTCTCTTGAAGGTTTTCCAAGCAGCCTCATTGTCACTCTCTCTAACCAGATGAAACATAGTGAAGGCCGGTGCTTGGTGTGTTTCCGCAGAGACTGGCCCTAATGTCCACGACGCAGCTGGAAACACGCCTCCAGATCTCATGGTGCGTCCAGGAATATTTGAAAGAACTTGGAAAATAGTGCATATCCTGACGGGATCTCCATTCAAAGCCCTTTATGCAGGCATCAGATGACTTCAGGGATCCAGATTCCCAGATTCTTCACGTTTGTGTCCACAAATAGGGGAGCAAAGCCTGAGTTGCTAGAGGAACAATGCCTTACCTTGGCCCTGCAATGCCTGGCTACTCATGAACAGCGCTGCGGCCAATCAACTCCAATACTTCAGCGTTCTGATCATGTCAGGAAAGCCGAAAGAAAGATGCATGGAGGCCACTTCTGCACGCTGTTCTTAAAGGCTGCTGCTTCAGTCCAAGTTGCATATTCTACCAACATCTTCATCCAAACTCGCCCCTATCCCAGCTCTTTTGGCGTTCTCCGCACAGAGTGCACGTCCTCGTCCCCAGCCTCTTCTATCCTCGCATGCGTCCAGCATGTTCTCACCCACACTCTCATCTCAGGAAAGCGGAGAACAATCTGCTGAAACGCAACCAATCGCAGTTCGGCTGCCACAATCGCCGGCCCCAGATACGCTGTCGGCGCGTTTCTGAGAGAGAAGCACGGAGGCATGGGGGAGAGGGCTATGGTAAGGCGGTGACCCAATTGAAAGCGAACTTGGTGTGAAAGCCCACTCTGAGTCCCTGAAACATTCTCGCCTCAATAGCGCAGGTTTTATCGGTCTTTTCCAGGTGCGAGTGGATGCTAACCTGATGCTCAAGGCAAACAATTGTCTTGCCTTAGCTTCGCTCGACTCAATTGAGGTTTGTGCGTTGCCAACTGTAGATCTCTTGTAGATAGAATCTCTTACTTTGGGTTTGCAACTGTCCAATTCATAGAGCTTGCGGACAGTCGTGAACGACTTATGTGTGGAATGATACTTTATTCAGATTGCGCGAAATCGCTCTGCATAATGACGTCCGTCTTGTTCTAGCTGCAGCTTCTTGATCTTTGTCGTATGGATCTCGAGTGCTTCATATCTTCCGTCCCCCTATCAACAGATTTTAAGGAAGTTGATAGAAGAAGCGTAATAAGGGGTGGCATGGATATTTCACCGGCGCGCAAATAGGATGAACCGTCTCGTAGTTGTCTTCTAATCTGGGCAAAATATAATTGGCTGTTTCTTCATTGTAATCTGCGCCCCTTACAAAGGCTTTCCAACAGGATCAAGTGCTTTTGAAATCATGGAAGCTTCGAGCTGCAATTGCTTCAGCAACTGTTTCGTTCTTCCTTGCGCAGGCTATGTTACTCCGAGTGAATCGAAATCAGGGCTTTCGAGAAGCGGAGAGCGCCGCGGCTGTTCTGTGGGAGTTTGTTGATCCGGACTCATCCGATGGGTACTATTTTGTCCAAGCTGCTCCAAAACGGGGCGTCTGTATTTATTCTCTCTTCAGCTACATCAAGTATTTGCATTTTGGCTTGGTAAGAGTTAGCGGCAGCGGAATGAGAGACTCGCTTCCACACTAGCTTTCTGGTCTGGTCTTGTCCACAATCACTTCCGAGTCAATTGTTATTCGGATCATCCTTTCAGGGATTTCTGTGGCTTTCATTCCGAAGAGCAGACTAAACGATGTGCTTTGAGGCATTCTCTTGCACACTTTTAGTACTCTAGATTTTTTTTGATAATTCTAGCATTGGATTTGGAAAAGAAAGAACACCTCCTGAAGTCGTGCGGGCACTTCAAACACCACCAGAGACGGACTACTTAAAAGGCTTTATTCCTCACATCCCCGAATCTAAGCCACGCTCGCTGGCACCCGTTGATTTTTTTTCTGGACTCCACAGACGACCTGAGGCGTCACTGAAGATGGTGGAGGACCCGGCTAGCAGGGCCAGAATGAAAAGGAACCTGAAACGGTGGAAAGAGCGGCCGCTTTTTCCTGGCAGCCCGATCGACGCGCATAAGGAACTGCGCAGGTTGCGCGGCTATGACGATTGGGATAAAGGTGGCATATGAGTTCAGCTCTGTCGCAATCTACGGAGTAGGACCAAGAAGGGTGGAGGACGGGAGTCTGACAGGGTTCAATCTGCTGAAACGTTTTGATAGAATTGAGAAGGGGGGCTCTTTTGCGTTCTTGATCGGGGTTGTCTACGTTTCTATTAAGATCTGATGCTTATGTAGAGGTATAACAGGTAGACTGTGTGGGCAGAAGCACGGACAACTGACAGGGTGGTCTACTTAGGATCTTCCACCAAGCGGCACCCTAGCTCCCTTAGAGCTTGCCAAAGTGAGCCTGCACGCAATTACTGCGCACGCAATGCTAAAGTCCTTCCTCTTAATTGTCCCTGTAGGGACTGTTGTCGCACTTAGATGACTACCTCAGGTCTATGGCGTCGGACATGGAGAAGAGGTAACAAGTGGCGAAGAAAGCGAGCTGGAACTCTAATCAATCTTCCTAGCTTTGGTTCGTCTACAGAGGCAGCGACGGTCGGATCTTCGGACACTGCTAAGTTCTATATGACCGGGCCGGCAGGGCTGCAGCTTTAGTACATGCTGAGCAACACGTAGAGCTTGGACTGAGTCACGACTCGAACTTCCTGAAGACGCATTAATCTGACGAAGTCAGGCCGCGGCAAGCCAGTGATCAACACACAAGCACTTCATCAAATGCCGCATACGTAGTATGGCATGCATGCGGCGCATGGCATCATACGATTTCAGCGAAAGGTGAAGTGGTCCCGCTACCGGCGTCATTGCATCATGCCGAGCTCCCTGTTGCACAATTCGATATTGGCAATGATTGATTCTGATGTATGATTGTATATACCGGCCTGATGATTTGATTACTGATGCAATGAATGCATGTCTTTATCAGTCCTAACTACCCGGCATGTCAATATGAATTGTACCTCGTTTAGGATTGATGTAAAGATACTGAGAAGACAAATCTATAGTATCGATTTAAAGAGAAAAATCATATATGCTTCAAGTCGTTTATTGTTTATCTAAGTAATCATTGCACAATATGGCATATCATGTGACCGTACTTTGCAGCGCAGTAACGTTATGAAGTATTTCAAGTTTCAATCTGTCCACATACCTTTTATAAAGGATATTTCCCGTTAAACCTTAAATATAGACAGTGAAAGATTACATGGCATTATCGAAGCATTGGATTCGATTGGTGAAATAGTCGGGACGCAACGTAGTGACACGGAATCTGCACTTAGGCCCACTTTCAAGTTTAAAAATTGGAGAGACAACGTATCAACGTAATCCGGTCTGTACAATGTTTATCCACAACACGTTCCACACATACACAAGATCCTGGCTCAACGCTTCAAACACGATCGAGAGTCAGCATGCTTCGGTCAGAATCTCCCGAAACACGCCTAGCTCGCTTTCAAGGGCATCAAACAGAGGCTTCACAAGACTGTCAAAATTGCGCCACAGCGCGCAAGTGGTATTAGGCTTGCCGAGGCGCGCACGATTCGGGCGCTTCTACTGTCCGGGCACGAAGGCGGTGGCATAGGCCTGCAATAAACAGAAACGTTTCACAACGGATTCCAAGTTCCGTAGGCCCAGTGGATGGCATAATTTTGCTGGAGAAGAGAGTCGAAAGAATGTTGACTCGTGGTAAACTGGTCGCAGAGTAGAATGAAGGGTTCTTGAGACTATTATCGCGTCGTGAGGTCATCTCATACTATCTCCAGCACCAAGTAGCGGAGTTGCAGGGGTCTCTCGGTGAGAGACCAAGTGCGGGCTGGACTTCGACGCGTAGAAAAACATTAGAGAGAGCGTCTACAAATGCACTCGCTTCGCGGCCACGTTGACAGGTTACCCTATGCTTCGCAGTCGCCACCAAAGCGTCAGGTGTCACCTCGAGAACTGATCGACCGTATGCATCCAGAAGACACAACAGGCAAAGTAGAGTTTAAGAAGTCGCCAAGGATGACGTCAGAAGTGACGAAGTCATAACTGACTGCTTACCCATGCGTTGTTAACGGCGGGGTTAGCCAGGTGGTCCTCCAGGTTCTGGATGGGCCCCTTCCCGGTCACGATGGCCTGGACGAAGAAGCCCAGGTTGGCGACCAGGGCCAAGCTGCGGGGAGAAGAACCGAACACGACCGTCAGGATTATTTCGAAAAGCGAAAAAGGCCTTTTATACGGTGACGGCGGCGTCAGGGAGGTTTCGATTTGAACTTTTGAGTACCGGAGCGGAGGCCGCCCGCGGGAGCGGCTACAGCGGAGCAATGGCGCCAGAGTAAAGCAAAGTCGAGTGCTCGGCGTTAAGAACCGAATCTAGGAAGTGAAGCCAAAAACGAAGGACAATAAGGGAAGAGTCTCGATCGGCTTCCCAGTACTTCGCTGTCAAAGAGCGGAGCGTTCATACCAGATCTTGCATCAAAGCATTCCAATCGCCTCGATACTGAAAGGATACCGTTCATTAAGAACGAGTAAACCAGATTTCTACAGAATATCAGTTCCCCAGGAATGTCGGTCTGAATCTCGCGTGCCCGGTGATATTCACCGGCCGTTTTCAATCTCCTTCAGCCTGGCGTAGTACTCCGGATTGTCAGAGCGGTTCACAAAATTGCAAAAGTGCGGGCAAGTCTAGCTTTTTAAAGGAACCTCTTTAGAAGCCGGGACCACCTTTCACCGTTCTTGTGCCTGGTGACACTCACCGGCCGTTCTTGATCTCCTTGACCTTGAGCTCGGCGAACTCCTCCGGGTCGTCCGCCAGGCCCAGCGGGTCGAACTGGCCCCCGGGGTACAGCGGATCCTCCACCTCGCCCAATGGGCCGCCGTTCACGCGGTAGCCCTCGATAGCGCCCAGCAAAATCACCTGCGGTTTTCGAGGAGGGTAAGAATGAGCGCAGTAGAACTCACTGCTCGGACTTGACAAACTATTCAAAGTGAGATTTGTGAGACGTGACAGCCCCGGATGGGCCCCAAGCAGATTCGCAGAACCACATGCGGGTTCCAACTGAGTTCTAAGGGTCGACAGAGAAATAGGGCCAGAAAGCCAAACCAAATTTCTCAGTGCGGATCAACAATTGGATGGAAACACTTGAAAACGCGCCCAGTGCAAACGCCTGCAAAATATCAAGTCTCCTGGACAGGCGAGAATAAAAGCGCAAAGCGACAGAAGAGGACCAGACGTTTGGCAGCGTCGGGAGAGCGGAAGGATATTGGGGGGCCAGAAGCAGCCAAACATGAGACGCTACGTTTCGATAAGATCTGAAAACAACATCTGCCCTTCTAAGGTCAAGCCTCGGACGCTACTGTAAATCAAGGCAGGCAAATTTTGTGTTTAAACCCAACCCCAACCGCACATATTTCCACACGAATTCGACCTTGCGCGCAGAGCTGAGAACGGCACGCGCGCAGAACGTGGGCGACGAGGAACCGTACCTGAGTGGCGAGGGTCGCCAGAATGGACTGTGCTCAAACTCGCACGCACAAAAAAGACGGAACGCGCGCAGATGTGGGCGACCAAGGAATCCTACCTGAGTGGCGAGGGTCGCCAGGATGGACTGCGCGTGGATGAGCCCCGGGTTGCCAAGATAGTTGAGGCCGTCAGCGGAGAAGATCTGGGCGCCGGCCTTGAACCACACAGCCTCGCCGAACTTGACACCAGCATACTTCTCTAAGGCTTCCGGTGTCAAGATCCCGAGCGCGCCCAGGAGAGCCCACCGGGCGTGGATGACCTGGCAGGGAGGGGAAAGCCAAAGAGTTTGGTTGCGAGCCGGAAGAGGGTAGCCTTGTCACGTCGATGACAGGAGAAAGGCGGACGGTTGACTTTCCAGTTGAGAGCAGAGTAAGAGATGGTCCGTAATGAGAAAGGGACGTGTAAATCGGCATGTTTCCTTAGCCTAGTCTCAGACATCAGTCAAGACGTATACGAAAGGCGCTGATCAAAGACAGAGATCGCCCATATCTACCCGCAGCCATTCTCTTTTTGGGTCAGCAGACATCAGGCAAAGCGTATACGAAAGGAGTTGATCAAAGACAGAGATCGCCCATCTGAAGTTCCCATGGTTCTGTCCGGTTTTCACACCTTATTCCCCAAAGAAGGAAGCTGGAGTTGTTGGAATACACTAGCATCTAAGAGGACGACCTTGTCATGACAAGTCTTACCTCCAGCTCCCGGTTCCGGCGGAACGTCTCAGGATCGGCGGAAAGGCCTGCAGTGTCCCACCCATAGTCACCTGCGGCGATAAGAAAAAGTGGTCATCAAACGGTGGCTTATGAAGCGCCAGGTTTAGTTTGTTACTCACTCAGTAACGGCAGACGGACTCTTCAGAGGTTAAACCGAGACGGACTCCCACGGAGCTGAGCCTGACGAAGAGACATAACACCAACGTTCTCAGCCTCTCGAATCATGGCTGGTAGCGCTTCATAGACACGGAAGTTGAGGTGTTTGCTCTGACGTCAGCATACTCACCGGCGTACTCTCCGGTCAGGTAGTTTGGGGTGTCTCCAGAAAAGGGGCCCAAGAACTGCAACGTTCAAGCGACATATTGGGCTGTTAGCAATTGAAAAGCCGTTAATCGCCCTAAAGGAGCACTTTAACCCACTCCTGTCAGGTCTTGTAAGTGTCCTGTGACGAAGGCGTTCTGAGATGCCGTACCAAGACAAATCTACGGCTCGCAAGTCCGGTGGCAGGAGATTGGAGACTGACTTACTTTTTGCCAGAAGGAATCACCTAATGAAACGATGCAAGGCAGCGAAGGAAAATGTACAATCCGTGTTTTCAAAGTCCTGATATATCTTCGTCAAGTGCAACGATCGATGCGGCGAGGGCAAAGTTGTACCAGTGGCAAATCTTGGATGGCCTCGAGCGCTACTCTTTGACGTTCTTAGCGGCGGTCTCACAGGAATTTAATCTGGAGATCCGAAAGTTCAGATGAGACTGGAAGCTACAAAAAGCATTCTGAAGAAGCTGCGACGGACTTGGACGGACGTGGTGCTTTCAGAAGCACCTCCAGCTAGATCTGGTCGCTAAGAGGTACGTACCTTGGCGCGGTCGGGGCCGTACCACAGAGACGCCTTCGAAGAGACGGTCCGCCTCATCACAGTTCGAGTGCCGTTCGACTGCAAAGAAACAAAGGGGACGTTCAGAAACAGGATACGAGAATATATAGACAGCTGGCACATCATTCACTGCCATTGAATTGTTGTCGAAGATCTGCCGCCTTGTAGCAATTCTTGAGTGGCTCCCAGCGTAAGAGTTGGATCTCAAGACAGAAGGCTTCCTCTGAACTGCCTCGATACTCGACAACAAGTCGAGCAACAGAGAGGAACGAATTAAGCTCCTAGCATTGAATGATGGTTGCTTCTGGCAGGAACTCGATTGCAAGGAAGGTTCATTGTCAGAAACGGGACGGTGCGGCCCCCGTCCGACAGGATCTACGATCTTGAGAGGTTACAATCAATTTCATGGGCCATGCTTCGTATCTATAGAGCATTTGCAGTACAGTTCGAATCTGCTCAAATCAACAAGCAGCAGGGAACGGACCCTTTGTTTCCTGTTCTTGTGAACCCAGTGCCAAAACCTGCACAATCCACCTTATTTGTATCCTCTCAAACTCACTACCAACCGAGAAAAGAATCCGAGCGTGGACCGTCAGGCCCTACAAGTGAGGAATGTGTGAGCGGTTTAGAGAAGAAGACGGCATGATCTTCCAAATTAAAGCTTCAACAGCTAGAATAAAGAAGACAAAAGTGGACAACTTACTGGCTTGACCACAGCGTTGGAGAGACCCTTTCCGGCGAAGGCACCGGCCAATCCAACTGAAGAAGCAAGGGCGGAGGAAGCCATGACGTCAGCTGTTTTCCTAGTGGACAATCTCAAGATTTGAGAACGGGAAGGCGAGGTAAGACTGCTCGCTTACGATGCTCGTGCAGATAAGCTGCGGAGAGTAGGTTATGGAATGAAGAGGAGTTTGGTGGAAAGACTGCATTATGTACCGCTGAAAATTCTGGACAAGGGGCAGAAGAAAGTGAAGCGAGCCAGTCAGATTCATGTCGCCTGCCGGGGGTGATCAGGTGTACCTAGTCAAGTGGATCTTAGTTCGTGAAATCTGCTGATTTGAGACGGGAGCAGAATGATGATTATTCGACGCTCACTAGCAAGCCAGTGCTAGTGAGCGTACCGGTCTGAATCTGGTCAATCTACCTATTGCCAGGTCGCGTCTACATACAGAAATCAAGGAGATCCCTAGGCACCTAGGTGCTATTAAATCCACTCTAGTCCAAGGGGTCTGAAATGGGCGTCACAGAGACTGATCAATTCAACCAAATGAACCACCCTGTCAGGCTGAAAAACTCGCTTCCTCTGGCACGCCCTGGCTATCTCAACCTGGCCGTCTCCATTTCATTGTACTAAGTTCATGAGAAATACGAAGAGCCTTGTGCTCGGTTTCTTGACGAGATCTGGGCCTCGAGAGTGCAAGCACCTACTTAGCTGCAGCACCCCTGTCTGGCCAAGTGCCGTGAACCCTCGGTTGCACCAACCGGTCCACTGAACATGGAAAGCCGGGTGCATGCACCAGTCGGGCCGGAGTCTGGAGCCGAACCATCGCCTTCTGCGCGCGTATGGGCGCGTGGCGCGCTAGGCCGGAAAATTCAATTCCGAAGTTCGTAGTTGTCGACCGTACCGGGATGTACGGTCACAATCGAGTCCGACACCGTACGGTCAAGCGCGGACGGCGCCGGGCGCAGCGCACTTGCGGCCGCGCGCTCGGTTTACGGCGCTGCAGCTATAGTAGGCGGTCGCATGAGGCCGATCAACATCATGCCGCCTCATGTATCTCACTCATTGTTTTCCTGGTTTGAAACTGCCCATCAACAGACCTCCCGTCAAAGCATTCATTATTGAGTACTACCCTCATGAGCACTCGGCCCACTCTCTGTGCACGGACGTAGCCAGCCAATGATGATCCCCTAAGACCAGTTTATCCAAAACGGGCCGCGACGCACGAGCAGACTCAGTCCACCTAGCTTAAATCACAAACGTTCTTTCAAAGGCCCAAGTTCAAATTACGGCATGTGGTTCAATCTGTCACTAGAAGGTCCATTCCGAAGTTTAGCAGGGTTGAGAGTCGTCACTAGAAGGTCCATCCCGTTGAAATTCAGCACTGGGCTGAGATTCTTCCTCTCTTACAGCAAGCCCGCACTTTTCTTGGCCCGTGGACTGTGACCCCGTATCAAGAAATGACAATCCTGTGGTTTAGTGCATGATGGCTCCGATTGAAGAAGACCCCGCAATGGCCAATGCAGCCAGACTTGTGCGAACGTCATTGCCGAGCGTGTCCTTTTGTGAGACGATCAGCGCCGCTGAAATGGCGTCAGAGTTAGCTGGGCGCTCTCAATGAAACCAAGAACTGCGACTTTCTAATTATAAAAAGTGTCAGCCCTTCCTCCTTCCGAAGCAGGAAACGCGGAGAAGAAAAAGAACATTACAGAAGCGAATGCACGTTGCAACGTGCTGACACGCTTGCCCGTCGGGTCGAGCAAGATACTCGCCTGTCGGACTGAGGATAGTCGGAACAAAACCGCGCAACCCGAAAGGGAAAGAGAAGCACTGACTCGCGAAACAATGTCCGATAATACAGGCAGCCTCGGTCGCTGGTTAGAAAACCCTTTTGAGGCGTACCTTTCGGACAGCATGATCGTCATCGCTGAAAACATTTGCATACCAACTGGCGCAATATGCCGTGCTCCTTTGATGACGGGAGCGTCAAACCACATAGGGTCTTAGTGTTTTCAGGTTTTAGTCCCTTGCTTTGTGGCAGCGTAATTCGGGTGAACCCAATCTGCGCCTGCCTGCGGTCGAGAAGCAAAGCGCTTTGTTGAACTTGCCATGAATCGGACCCCCGAAGGTCTGGTATTGTGGAGCCTGGCCTTGTAAACGCAGACACTTTGAAAGCCCAACGGCGGGTTTCGTTCGCGGGTGCCCTGAGAACAAAAGCGGGCTATCAACTGCCTGTGGCCAGTGGTGGTTGCAATCCTCAAGGACATAAAGGCCTTCCGAACGAGAGTTGGACTCCCCAAGTCGGTCGAGGGGTGCACCCACCGTGAAACAATGCGACAGGGCCCCCCAGATTGTGCACTACTATCGCCGGATGCAAAAAACCACACGTGCTCTCACGGGGGCCTCGGCTCTTTCTCGGAAGGTAAGGAGACATTTCTCGAAGCGCCCAGAGAAGGACGAAGCTGTCGAAGTTCAAGACGACGGCCACCACGAAGCATTGGTAGGCAGCACATGACCAGAGGCACTGGTATACTTTTGTGAACGCTCAAAGTTTTCCTTGGAAAGCAATGTTGTACATATCGTTACATAGAAGAGAACTCGGGCCTGACAAAAAGCTTGGCCTTTGAGGAGTGCGTGTGTTGGCATCATTGCAACCTTCCCGGTACTGCTATTGCCCGACGGTGGGCAATCCACAGTTACATTCCCTGCCAACAGAAAGTATGTCAAACCGCTCAAACGAACATGAAATGATATTCTGCAGCTGCACGAAATGAGAGTTCTGAGAAAGAAGAATACAAAAGCTTTGGTCGAGCCTGCTTCGTTGACCCCACAAGCAGGTCACCCTGCAAGCAGGTTATGGTTGAGAGCTGTACCGCTTTGTACACTAGTTGCTTCTTGAACTTCAGCAAAAGCTTGGCGAAGTTTGGGTCATACGGATATCAAAGCTTCCAATTGGGCGCTTCAGATCTCACGCGATGACTTGACCGAGTGAGGCCGATCGGTTCGTCAAAACGAGCCCAACTCAACCGACACCGTTACGTTAAGGTTCGAGCAGGAGACGTAGTTTAATGCGCCGAAAGGGCGGAGAAAGGTTTGAGAGGGTTCTGCTCTCGACAGCGGACACAGATTGAAGTAGACGACTCGAGCTCTTAAGTGGCGGGAGTAATGATGAGGCTGCCAACAGCAGAGAGTCTAAATGGTGGAGCCCGGGAAGACGCGGACGAGCACCTCGATTGTATACATGTACGTTAAGAAACAGAAAGGAATACTCTTGGCAAGCCAAAGCTTTGTATCCTAGCCAAAGCCTTCGTCCCTTGATTCTTCCTCCGTAAGCAGGGCGTCGAAGGACATGTCCTATTCGGCGACCACACGCTATTGGCTACACTCTTTCAGTCGCTCGGAAGGTCATGACATCCAGAACCGCAGCGACACAAAGTGGTTGTCTGCGACCAAACGTCGCCGAGGAAACCACGAATGGCAGACGCCCACTTGAAGAAAGCGTTGCCAAGAATTCTCGTAATTGGGTTCGTGATTTTCCACGGCCGGAAGGCAGGCTCATTCATGCTGCACACGATGGGCGCTAGAGCACTTGATAGAATTCGCGTGACAACGTTTTCAGGGGGACAAGAGGTAAAACGAGAAGCGGAGAGTAAAATAGAAGAGTAGGAGAAGTTTATAAGAAGCTATTTCACTGCACTGCCGGCTCACCTTTGCGACGCCAAGCGGCGGGAGAACCAGCAGCCTCAGCAGTTCAGAGACTTCACCGATACAGAGATTCATTGACGTCATGAACTTTGCAAGCTTTAGAGATCTAGATCGAACGACCTCGTGCTAAAAACCCTAAGGAAAGATGACGACCACCCTAACCCTAAGTCGTTCCGCCATGTGCTTACCCCTACCCACCCTAACCCCCCTGCTAACCCCACCAAAGTCACAGTCCGGTGGTCGGTCAGTCCGCCGAGCGTACTCCATGATTGCCTCGACCATGTAATTAAATACATGCCAATATAATTATGGAATCAATTGGAGTTCCGTTGTTCCGCCGCCGACAAGGGCAACCGGTTCCGACTTAAAATCTCCCCTGCGGTCAAGATTAGCGGGCCCCTACGCAGCTCGTGGTCTCAGAATGAAAAGTAGGTTAACAAATGTGATACTTTGGACTAGTAAACAAAAGAACTTACGCAAGTGTGATGGAGCACCGTCATCCGGGAGGCCTGCCATCGAGAAATCTACAGGAGTGACCCATTAGGGGAACTCGAACTAATTGTCAGGCGCCAAAAACATTTAGGTAGTCCAGTAATCAACGGCACGCAAGACGTAATCAGTAAACGCGCCGAAGGCAGCAGACCTACAAATAATAAGAATCAAAGCACTATTTTACATACACGCCTATTCTTTTGGCGATCCGACTTCTAGAAATGCACATGGGCACTAGATCGGTATGCAAAATCTGACGACGAGAGTGCGGGACGTCGTTCTCCATTTTGGGGGGCCCAGCCGAGGTAATTGCATTTATGCCCTGGTTGAGCGGCTCGGGGACATTTTCAAGTGTCAAGCCTATGGCCAAAGCGGACGTGGCCAAGCACCTACGTAGCGTCATTGCCAAGCGTCTTCCGTTTACATACTAAAGTAGCAAAGCGTACCCTATGTCGATTCAAACGGAAATCGTCTGAGAAGCTTCAGAGGCCTGACACGCCAGAACTTTTACAGGGGAAGAAGCGCTGGAAAACGAAACCTCCTCTTAAAAAGCATGCACCACAAAGAAACCTGAGATGCGTAACACTGCACGACCGAGGCTTTACAGGGTGTTGCGAAGTCGCTCAGGGCACAGCCCAACGAAGGCTACTTGGGGATTTGAGCTCCCTCTCTAGCTAAAGAGCGCAAACCAGTAATCAGGTGTGGCGTCATTTAAGGATTGTGTCTAGTACTGATTGCCCACACGGGGCCGTGCGCGCAGGGTTACTCCATTCCTTGACGAACACAAAGTTGTAACGTAATTACAGTATCTGGAAAGAATTACTGACGCTTGCTAGCTGCTGAAAAAGTCAGGCCGTGCGAGAGGCTAG